TGGAGACAGAATCCAGGATGGCGTCAAGCAGAAAAAAGTCTTTTTTTGTCACTCACAGGGATGGCCTTACTTGAGCCTGAGTTTCTCTATATTCCCTACCTGAAAATGTCACACATGGATGACTGCACATCTGCAAGTTCTGTTTATTTAATTGAAATGTGCAGAGAGAGATAGAGGAAGACAGAGGGAGATCGCCCATCTTGTGGCCTGCTACCCAAACGCCCATAATACCCAAGGCCAAACAAGGCTGAAGTCAGGGGCTGGGGATTCAGTCTGGGTTTCCTACATGAGTGGCAGAGACCCAACTACCTCAACTATTGTCTGCTGCCTCCTCGGGTGCGTATTAGCTGAAAGTGGAAATGGACAGCAGAAATGGACCTGGAATCCAAGCACTCGGTTATGGGATGCAGATATCCCAAGCAGCAACACAGTGTTACACCTAATGTCCAATCGAAAATTATAATATTTCACCAAGAATTGTTTTTTGTCCTCCATTCTCCACCTCCCAGCTCCTTCATTCTCTCAGCAATGGGATTGTACTCTCCAAATAAAACACCATCATTTAATCCTTGATTCAGTCTCTTTTCTAAAAGGCTCTTATGAGTTAAGTGCATTCCCCCAAAAACTTGTGTCAAAATTTTAACCCTCAATATCTCAGAATGTGTGATCTTATGGGAAACAGCATTATACATATTATTAGTTTATACTCAGGTCATTCTAGTAGTGGCATGGGACTTTAATTCAATATGACTTGTGTCCTTATCAGAAGAGGCCCGACACATAAAGAGGAAATCATGAGAATATGGAAGCAGAACTGAAGTTATGCTGCCATAAGCCAAGGAACTCATAGGGCTGCTACCATAAGGTAGAATAAGCAAGGAAATATCCTTGCCTGGAGTTTTCAAGAGTACAGATTTGACAACACCTTGATATTGGACCTCTAGTTTCGAGAACTGGGAGACAATATATTTCTATTGTTTCGAGTCACCCAGTTTCAGGTAATTTTTTATAACAGCCTTAGGAAACTCATGCAAAGGCTCAAATTATTGGTACCAGAAATTGTTCTAGGACACAAAACTACAGAAAAGGATTTTGGAGCTAGACGCCCACCCATCAGACAATAAAGAGACCATTGCTGATGCTAAGTAGGACAGTAATACCCCATGGCACACAATGACATCACAATTAAGCTTTAGTCAGTGGTTTAACTGGCTTGAAGCTGAAGTAGAGAAAGAGGCTAAATATATACAGTAAGTAATAAGTATGGGGAAAGTAATAAATTAAAAACTAATACAGAAGGCTTCTGTTTTTGATGGGCCTAGACAACTTGTAAAAAAGAAAATGATAGGCTTGAGGTACTTAAGTGCCAACTTAAGGCACGATCTGATAGACAAAAAGACCTCTACGGCAGCTTTAATAGAGACACAGGACAGCATGTGGTGAAGATCAATACTAGCATCTGATTAATAATGATGTTAGAGCTTGGAAGGAAACTAAATGTAGAGCCTAAAGAGTTCTCCCATGTCAATGTCAGAGCTCAGAGAGAAAAGACCAAGACCCTTAGATATGATATTATGACTTTGCAGGGATGGGAGCGTGATAATCCTGAATTCCTATATTCCCAAGAGGTCTACTGGTGGGTAGAAGCAGCCTTATCCTCCTTGACAGAGAACAGATTCTGTTTGCCCAGGGATCATATAACTATGACACTAAAACATACATGTGTAAGATCTAAAGGCCTGCTCTTCTCATCTCTCGCTACCTTTGGGTCAATCACCAAATCAGATCCTAGCACAAAGTTCAATTCCAGCTTCCATGCCAAAGGCATTTAAGGAGATTAGCAACAGGAAATAGAAGAATATATATGGGAACGGATCCTGAGTAAGTTAGATAGAGGCAGGAAATGGAGGTTAGACTTTTAGATGGGAGAACTCAATGACAAGCCCTGATCCAAGATGAAAGGCAACATTTTGCCTTTTTATATCCTTTCTAACTCATTTCTTCTTTCCATTCATTATCATTAAAATATTGCCAGTATTACTTAAATAAATGGTAGTATATCCATTTGATGAAACACAATTCCATCATTTAGAGGAATGAGCTGTATCAGTAAGCATGTATCACTTCTATGCCATCACCTCTGATCCTTTTGATAGCACCTAGATCTAGGACTTTGACTTCTATTAACTCAGCTGTTGGGGCGGCATTGGATTTTTCTCAGGCTTTGCCATACCTCCCTTCTTTCAACCCAGAGCTTTCCCCTTGCTATTGACAAGCTGATCCACATGGTGCTCCCACATTGGCAACCTGAAATTCTAAGGGAAATAAATACAACTTACAGTCAATAAACTTTTGATATATGAAAGATACAAGCTGATAGACTTTTTTCTCTCTTCATCCCAGAGATTAACTGTCATAATATGAAATAATTGATACAACCTTTGAGAAGATGATCCCTTGAGATCACACAATCCATTACAATTGAACACCCACAGTGGCCAGCCCAGTAATTCATCTCATCACATCTGTCCACCTTTCTTCCTGATCCACTCTTTCTTCTCTGGGATTGAATGCATAAATTAAAAGTATCATTTTTTTTTCTTTAAAGTTTTCTTTCTAGGCAACTTAATGCAAAAGATGTTTTTCATAAAATGTCACATGAAAAAGTAAGTTACCAAAGAGAATGGAAAATAGCCAATTTTACGTTAAAAACTATAAAGCAATTATTTAAACATATGGGCTATAAATTAAAAGCGGTCTGGATAAACATACACTGAATTTTTGAGAATGAGTGAAGATTTTCAATACTTACTTATACTTATCTATTTAAAATGTTAAGGCCATCTATTATATGAGTATTTTCAATGTTAAATAATATTTTAAAAGGAAAATAAAAATATGCTCACATTATAGTATAATACTTTAAGTTGAACACACTTTTATACTGTTGATAAAGAATGTTAGGTACCAGAAATATGCAGTTGAAAAAAAATAATCACACTGGAAAATGAGTTCAACAAAGCTCACAACAAAAAACACTTATGTCTTTCTATTTTACCACTCATTCATCCTATGTTGCAAGTAGTGAATACAACACAAAACATGGTTGTACTTACAAAACACAAAAAGAAACTCAAATCTGTCAATTACCTTGATTTAAAAAAAAACAGTGTGAACAAGTATATGAAAACTCTTTACAAATTAACAGGTTAGATGACGGTATTTATTCACTTGTTCTCTTAAGACAGCATATTTTTCACAAAAATGTTCAGCTTAAGAGAAACTAAAATTAATCTCTGTCCTCTATTTTATTGGGCTAAAATTTAATCAGTACTTCAGCACAGAAAGCTCTACAATAATACTGTAATAAATAAAATGCTTCTTGAGTTATACAAATGCATTCTGAAGATGTAGCATAAGGACTCTTTAAGACGTCATAACTCTGTTATTTTTTTTCTTCATTTTATCTTGAAAGTGAGAAAATCTACCTTCACAGAGGGTAGGATATCCACAAAGTAATAGCAACATTTACCAGAAGGTAACTATATAAGTTGCTCTAAATTGATTTTACTTTTATTAATATTTAATTATTACCTTTTTAAAAGATGTATTTGTTTATTTCAAAGACAGAGTTACAAAGAAAGAGAGGAAGAGACCAAGAGAGAGATCTTCCATCCACCAGTCTGCTCCCCATATGGCCTCATCAGCCAAGCTGACACGAACAAAGCCAGGGACCAAGAGCTTCATCCAGATCTCCCACATGAGTAGCAGGGGCCCAGTGACTTGGGCCATTTTCCGTTGCTTTCTTAGGTGCACCAGCAGGGAGCTGGATCAGAAGTGGAGCAGCTGGGACCCAAACCCCTGGCCCACATGGGATGTGGAGGCTGCAGGTGGCAGTCCAACCTGCTGCACCACACCACCGGCCCCTCATTACTACATTTAAGATGCAATATACAAATAAACTGCTTTGTTTTCACAAAACATAAACTTTGAAGTAATTCTTATATATACTATTTAATAATTTCTATTTGCTTTCTTGACAGTAAGGCTGAACAATTGAATTGAGACCTAGCACACTGCTAACCAACAAAAACCATATTTTTTGTACTGAAAGTATATTAAAAACTTTTAAAATATGAGAAATTACCAATAATTGTTATTTATTTATAAATTCAAACAAATTATATCTAGTATTTTATATACAAAATAAAAATATAAAGTAGGTTAAGTTGAATTTTAACAAATTTAATGTACAGTTGAGTGTAATTCTTGATAGTATGTGTACATGCTATCTGATGACTTTTGTGTGAATTCCAATTTATGTGTCATACTTAAAAGAATTTTAGTGGCTCCAAAATTAGTTATTTTGCACAAAGGTTATTATTGAAAAATATAATTATTGTAAAGGACATTTCAAAAGGTGGTTGTTATTAATCTTTGTTAAAAATACACCAGAGGCATTTTGCATTCAGGATCAAGGGTACAGAGAGAGATACCAGGATTTACCCAGCAGGAAGCCTGCATCCCCAATCAAGCACGCAGGCCAGAGGCTAACATTCATACCACACAAGAAGGGGTGCATTACGCTGATATAGATCCAGATCCAAGAATGGTGACCAAGGTTCACACAAGCAACCAGGGAGGTCAGTTATACCCATTTCCACAGAGGGATTTCCGCTTACATATGCAGGCTATGAACGTCCACGTCACAGAAAGCAAGAAACCGAAACCGCCTCCCGAGCAGTACTGACGGGAATATAAAACGGCGCCAGAATCTGGCAAACAGCATCGGCATTTCACAAAGCACTAAACGCACTGCCACCACCCTAAGAGGCCCTGAAACCGTCACTCAAGGCTCTTCCCGGAGAAACGAAAACCTGACTTTGCGTGAAAACCTGTACAGGAACGTTTACAGCAGAGTCATTTCAAACAGCCAAAGCCTGGAAGCAACCTGCTGCCCTTTCAGCAGGTGCCTGGGGAAAACTAAATCCACAGAATACTACTGAGCACTGAAAAAGGAACAAAGAATTAGTTCCTTGCTAACCTCTAGGAAACATTTCCCGCCACAGACAATGGAGGTGGGGGTGGGGAATCAAGATTTACCCAGGGGTCACCCTGACCCCATTTCTCCAGCGCCCCCTCCCCACCCTTCCCCCCGTTAGGGAGATACGGGGTTGGCCACGCCCACAGCGCTGTTCCAAACTCACTCGGCCAAGGGGAAGCACGCGGGCACCCAGGGCCGGGAGCCCCTCCCCCGCAGTTAAGGGGGGCGCCTCCCCTCCGCCAGATGGATCCGGATCTCGCGAGGTCACGCCCTGGGCTGAGGTAAACCTCAGCTGAGGAGCGCTTCCGAGCGAGCGAGCGGCGACCCTCCTGCGCCCACTTCCCTTGCCCTCACCAGGCCAGGCAGAACCGAACCCCGGCTCCGTCCCTCTCCTTCTTGGAAGTTCGAAGCTCACTCTCAGAACCTGCCCTGAGAGGCAAAGAGCGAGCCAGGCCGCCCCGCCCGCCTAGCCCGCGGTCACCATGGCCCACCTGAGAGCCTACGAGGTCCGGCAGCTGCTGCACAACAAATTCGTGGTCGTCATGGGGGACTCGGTCCAGCGCGCTGTGTACAAGGACCTGGTGCTGCTGCTGCAGAAAGACTGCCTGCTGTCCTCCCAGCAGCTGAAGGCCAAGGGCGAGCTGAGCTTCGAGCACGACGTGCTGCTGGAGGGCGGCAGGTGGGGCCGCATGCACAATGGCTCCCACTACCGCGAGGTGCGCCAGTTCCGGGCCGGCCACCACCTGGTGCGCTTCTACTTCCTCACGCGCGTCTACTCGCCGTATGTCGAGAACGTTCTAGAAGAGCTGCGCTGGGGCCCCCACGCCCCAGACGTGGTCATCATGAACTCCTGCCTCTGGGACCTCTCCAGGTACGGCCAGGACTTTCCTAGGAGCTACAGGGAAGACGTGGAGAGCCTGTTCCGGCACTTTTACCACGTGCTGCCCCAGGCCTGCCTCCTGGTGTGGAACACGGCCATGCCTGTGGCCCAGGTCGTCTCGGGAGGCTTCCTCCCGGAGGCGGGCCAGCCGGGGCCGGTCCGCTTGCGGGAAGACGTGATGGAGGCCAACTTCTACAGCGCCATCGAGGCAGACAGGCACGGCTTCGACGTGCTGGACCTGCATTTCCATTTCCGCCACGCCGGGCAGCACCGACTGGGAGACGGCGTGCACTGGGATGAGCACGCGCACCGGCGCCTCTCCCAGCTGCTGCTGGCCCACCTGGCAGACGCCTGGGGAGTGGACCTTCCCTATCGCAACCCCGAGAGCATGTGGATCAGAAACGGTCCCAGAGGCAGACGCCCGGGTCTCGCAGGCAGGAGACAAATTCTGGAAAACCCAGGTGACCAAGGCAGACCAGGCTTGTCCACCCCTCCGTGCCATCCAGCCCCTCCGCAACTGCCAGGGACACACCCCCGGGCCCGTTCTCCTGTACGGTCCTACCGCCGAAGAACCCGATGGCCCTACAACCAATCTTTCCTGCACCGACGAATTTACAACAACTCCTTGCGCCAGACCAGATATACCAGAGAAGCGCACCCGAGGGGTAGCCTCCAGTCAAGGCTGGGCCCCATGCGCCCAGGCTCTACCCACAACCCAGGCAGGAGGTCTTCCCCTTACCCTCGCCGGCGCTACAGCGAGTCACGGAGACGCCAGCAAAGACGCTCAGAGAGATGGAACCCAGCGCACGCAGAGACAAGGCCCCATGACCAGAACCAGAACTAGACCTAGACCTCTTTTCCAGTATGAGTCTTGGCTTTCAGCAGCCCTGTTGGGATGGGGATTCTTTGAGCTGCTTACTCTGACCAGTTGACAACCTCGTCCTTTTTGTCAAAGCTTGCACACACCGTTTCGTGGAGAGAGGACACCGACTCCGACCTTCATACCGTCTTCTTCTTATCACTTGTGCAGAAAAATCCACATGGAGAAAATCTATCGTTGAAAAAAGAAGAAACGTTGTCTTTCCTATTATAAGTCTTCAAGCAATATTCTTCATGACATGCTTCTGTTAAAAGAAAAAAAAAAGGTAAAAACTTAAAACTTACCGAAATATTTCATTTCTGTTTCACCATTAGTTTTTGCATTTGTTCATAGTGCTTAATCGCCACAGCTTTTGCAGTTAAATTGTCTTGCTTTTACAAATACGAGGTTTATTTTTCTTAGAAACATGGAATGTTTACTTTCAATGTAAACAGTATTTGTTTAGGTATAAACTAACTAGCACTTTGTTAAAATAGACTTTTATTAGAGCAATTTTAGGTTCACTGCAAAATTGAATGGAAAATACGGAATTCCCATGTACTCCTTAATTTCACACAGCCTCTCCCACTATCAACATCCCACATAAGATGGTATGGTGCAGTCGTTATCTTTTGTAAACCTATTTGACAGAACATTTTTTGCTCAACTCCATTCATAGTTAACATGAGGGTTCAGTGTTGTATATTCTGTGGGTTTTGAAAAACGTTTAATGACATGTTTCCGTTATTATAGTATAAAACAGTATAAACTGCCTTGAAAGTCTGCTCTGCTCTGTCACTTTGTTCTCTCCGCCCGATCTCCAGCAACCATGGATCCATAACTGTTTCTATAGTTTTGGCTTTTCTTGAATGTTACACAGTTAGAGTCAATCACATTACATGTGAACTTTTCAGATTGGTTTCTTTGATCTAGTAATATATTTTTAAGTTTCCTCCATGTTTCTTTATGGCCTGATAGCTCGTTTATTTTTAGGCCTGAATTTTAGCCCATTGTCTGGACTAAGCACTGTTTATTGGTCTGTGTACATACTGAAAGACATCTTGGTTGCTTCCAAGTTTTGGCAATTCTGAATAAAGTTGTTATAAACATCTGTGTGAAGTTTTTTTGATGGATATAAGTTTTCAGGTGATTTTCGAGTATATCAGGTAATGCAATTGCCATATCATGTGGTAAGGATATGAATAATTTTTTAAGAGACTACTCTTTGCCAAAAATCAAAATATCTATTTCTAGGTTTCTATTGTGTTCCATTGACCCATTTGTCTAATATTTTGCCAACATCATATTTTTTATTACTGTAGCTTTACAATAAGTCTTGAAGTCACGTATTGTCAGTTCTCTGACTTAATTATCCTTAAAAGCATGTGGAGTATTCTAGATCTTTTATCTCTCTTTATAAAACTTTACTCAGTCTGTCACTATCTGAAAATTTAGCTTTCAGTGGGATTACATTGAATTTACAGATCAAATTGGGAAGAACTGACAATAATGAGGTTTCCTATTCATGAACGTGGACTATCCTCATTATTTGGTTCTTTGATTTCTTGTATCAGATTTTTGTAGTTTCCCTCATAGATTTTGTACATATTTTGTTAGATTTATACCAAAGTATTTCATTTTGTGAATGCTAATGTAAATAGCCATTGTGCTTTTAATTTTAAATCTGCTATTTTATTTTCTTGTCTTATTGCATTATTAGGACTTCCAGTTTGATATTGAAAAGGAGGGGTGAAAGGAGACATCGTTTCTTCCTCACTAATTTTACTAGGAGCTTCTGCTAACTGTAGGCTTTTGCAGGTGTTTTTCAGTCAGTTTGAGAAGTTTCCCCCTCTTTTCTGGTTTCGTGAAAGTTTTTAATCATGAATGGGTGCTGGACTTTGTCAAATGCTATTTATCTATTTGATCATGTGGTTTTTATCTTTAGCTTGCTCATGTGATGCATTACATTAATTGGTTTTTGAATGTTGAACCATATTTGCATATGTGGAATAAATTCCACTTGGTGAATAGTTATTTTGCTATATGTTGGATTTGACTTGCCAATACTTTATTGGGAATTTTTGCATCTATGTTCATGGTAGATATTGGTCTATAGCTAACTTGTAATGTGTCTTATTTTGCTATTAGAATGATACTGTCCTAATGGAGTGGGTTACAAACTATATCCAGTGCCTCTTTCTGATAGGAAAGATTGTAAATAATTCATAGGAGACATCTTTAAATTTTCATGAAAAATTTACATTATGAAAAATCTGTGAATAGATTTCAAAAATTTTTGTGCCAAGTTAAATTATCTTTTACTTCTGTTATTCCACAAATCTTTTTGAACTACCCTCATTATAATTTCTTCCTTAAATGTTCATTAGAATTTACTGATGAACCCATCTGGGATTTTTCTTTTAAGAAGGCTGTTAATTTCTGTAATAGAAGTTTCTTTAATAGATATTTTTACTAAGATTGTCTTTTTCTTGGGAGATTTGGCAGATTTTGCTTTCATGAAACTGGTCCTTTTCTTGGTTATCAAATTTGTGAAATGGAATTCTTGAAAATATTTCTTAATTATCTTTTTAATGTCCACAAAGTCTTCAGTGACATTCCCGTTTTCACGTCTGATAATCATCCTGCAAGCAGACTTACTAATTTTACTGATCCATTCAAAGAACAGCTTTTGTTTTTGTTGATTTTTCTAACTGGTTTGTTTTCAGTTTATTTTATTTCTGCTCCAATTTTTATCATTTCTTTTTTATAGCTTACTTTGTTTTCTTTGATTTTCTAAGGTGGAAGTTTATTTATTGACTTTAAATCTTTCTCCTTTCCTAATATACATATTCATTACTAAAAAATTTTATCTACACATGGTTTTTACTTTATCCCACACTTTTGATAAGGTATGTTTTCTTTTAAAGTTCACATTTAGAAATTTCTTTAACGATTACTTCTTTGAATCATGTGTTATTTACAACTGTGTTGTTAATCTTCAAGTATTTGAGGATGTTCCAGCTATACTTCCGTAACTTACTTCTAGTTCAACTTCATTGTGGACTACAGCAGAACCTGTATGATTTCAGTGTTAAGTTGTGTTTCATGGCTCAGCTTGTGGTAGTCAGCATTGGTAAATATTCCATATGAGCTTGAGAAGAATGTGCATTCTGCTATTGTTAGATGAAGTATTTTATACTTGTGTTTTATATCTTGTTGATTGATGATACTGTTGAGTTCAACTGCTAGTTCTATTACACATAGGGCATGTTGATTTCCACTATGATAGTGAAATCATATATTTCTTCTTGGAGTCCTACCAGTTTTCTGTTTTGTTTTTTGGATTTATTTATTTAAAAGGCATAATGAGGGAAATGTTTTTCACCTACTATTTCACTTCCCCGAGGGCCATAACAGCTAGATTTGGGCCAAGCTGAAGCCAGGAGCCATGACTTCCATCCTGATTTCCTATAGGGTTAGCCGGGCAACAAGTACTTGGGCCATTCTCAAGGGTATTGACAGGGCATTGGATTGGAAGCAGAGCATCCAGGACTCAAACCCAGCACTCTTAAATGGGATTCTAGCATCCCAAGTGGGGACTTAACTTGTTACTCCATAACACTGGTCCCAGTCCTACCAGTGTTTTCCTCATGTATTTTAACGCTCTATCGGGGCCAGTGCTATGGCGCAGCGGGTTAAGGCCCTGGCCTGAAGCACCCGCATCCCATATGGGCGCCGGTTCAAGTCCTGGCCTCCATTTCCCATCCAGCTCTCTGCTCTGGCCTGGGAAAGCAGTAGAAGATGGCCCCCAAGTCCTTGGGCCCCTGTGCTCACTTGGGAGACCTGGAAGAAGCTCCTGGCTTCTGGCTTTGGATCAGCACAGCTCCGGCCATTGCGGCCAACTGGGGAGTGAATGATAGGATGGAACCTCTGTCTCTCTCTCTCTGCCTCTCCTCTCTCTGTGTAACTCTGACTTTCAAATAAATAAATAAAAATCTTTAAAAAAAAACTACCATAAGAGGCAAACATGTTAAATTTTACATCTTGGAGAATTGACATATTTGTCATGTAATACCCTTCTTTATCCCTGATAATGTTCCTTGCTTTGAAATCTGCTCTGAAATTACTATAGCTATTCCAGCTTTCTAGTGTTACCATGACATATATTTCTCCATCTATTTCATCTATATGTGTGTATATGGTTAAAATGAGTTTCTTGTAGACAACATATAGTTGACTCTTTTGATTCACTCTGATAATCTGTCTTTTCATTGGTATGTTTATACCATTGATGTCATTGATGTTTAAAGTGATTATTGGGCCGGCGCCCTGGCTCACTTGGTTAATCCTCCACCTGTGGCGCTGGCATCCCATATGGGCTCCGGTTCTAATCCCGGTTGCTCCTCTTCCAGTCCAGCTCTCTGCTGTGGCCCCAGAGGGCAATGGAGGATGGCCCAAGTGTTTGGCTCCTGCACCCGCATGGGAAACATGGAAGAAGCACCTGGCTCCTGGCTTTGGATTGGCGCAGCGCCAAGATTTGGGGAGTGAACCAACAGAAGGAAGACCTTTCTCTCTGTCTCTCTCTCACTGTGTATAACTCTACCTGTCAAATAAATTAAAAAATAATAATAAAGTGATTATTAATATTGTTGGATTAATATCTACCATATTTGTTACTGTTTTCTATTTATTGCAATTGTCCTTTTTCCTGTTTTTGCCATACACTTTTCTTTGCTTTTTGTGGTTTTAATTGAGCATTTCATATGATTCTATTTTTTTCTTTCTTTCTTAGCATTTTTCTTATTTATTTTACCAACTTTATTTATCTGTTAACTTTTTTTGGATAATTGTCCTACTAGTACACTACTAATAATGTGTGTTATTAGTAAGTATATTAGTATTAAGTATTAGTATTAGTATTAAGTATTAGTAAGTATATTAGTAATATACATTTACTGACTAATCCAAGTCTTCTTTCAGATAACCAGTGTTATCATAAAGTCACCAAATATATTGTTGCTCTTATTATTTAGAACGAACTTATTTTTTTTAATCAATGAACAATAGTACACTAAAAGTTTTCATTTTACTTTCACTTCTCTGATGTTTTCGTTTCATATAGAGCTGTTCCTGACCCATATCATTGTCCCTATCTTAGGAAAACTTTACACATTTCTGTCTAAGCAGGCCCATTGGCTATAAATCTCTTCAATTTTTATACATCTAAGAAAATTTTATTTCTCCACTTTGAAAGAATTTCACAAGTTACAAAATTCTAATTTGGTGGGTGTTTTTCCTTTTTTTTTTTTTTTACACTTTAAATATTTCACTCCACTTGCTTCTTGCTTATATAGTTTCCGAGGAGAAATCTGATGCAGTTCTTATCCTTGTTCTTCTATAGGTAGTGTATTTCTTTTCCTCTGATGTCTTTCAAGATTTTAACTTTGATTTTTTTTTTTGCAGTTTAAATATGATATGCCAAAGTGTGGTACTTTTGCATTTATTCTGCTTGATGTTCTTTGACCTTTGGAATATATTATTTTATACCTGACATTAATTTGGGAAAATTTCCAGTTTATTTCTTTTAAAAATATTATATTTAATTTTTTGCTCCTTGCTCTCTTTCCTGTCCTCCAGTATTCTCATTCTATTTTATTACATTTTTCTCCATTCTTTTTTCTCTTTGCTTTTCAGTCTTAGAAGTTTCTCTGGACATATCACCAAACTCTGAGTCTTTCCTCAGTGGGAAAGCATTCTCATTTTTCATTTCTACAATTCTTTTTTATTGTTTCTTAGAATTTACATCCCTCCACTTATGTTATACATCTGTTCTTGCATATTGTCCACTTTTTCTGGTAGAATCATTAGCAGTTTAATCACAATTGTTTTGAATTATTGGTCTGATAATTCCAACATCTCTGCTGTATCTGAGACTGATTCTGATGCTTGCTCTGTCCCTACAAGCAATGTTTCATTTACCTTTTAGAATGACTTGTACATTTTTGTTGAAAACTAGGCATGATGTACTAGTAAAAAGGAACTGTGGTAACAAGTCTTCGGTGACATGGGGGTAAGGTGTGGTGAAAGGGAAATCATTGTATAGTCCTGTGATCAGATTCCAGTTTAGTGAGGCTGTGTCCCTAGGCTGTGATCTTCAAGTGTTTCTCAGTTTCTGCTCCACTTCTGTGGGACAGAATGGCTACAAGGCGCTGGAATTGAGTATTTCTCTTCTGTTAAACCAGAGTGTGAAAAAAATCCAGGAGATTATTAGGCTTTGGTAAAATAGTTTTGAGGGCTGGCCTTGTTAAGAACAGAAGGCTCTGGGCATATTTCAAAATGGCTACATTTTTCCTCTCCCTGCCTGAAGTGTGAGAAGTTATTTCTACCGTCTTTACTTTGAGAATCTATAGGGCTCCTGGAAGTAGAACAAAAGTATGAAGGCTTTCCTAAGACTGAACTTCCCTAGAGATTTTAGCAATCAGGTTTCTCCATACTGAG